CCCCCAGCGCCGCGCACCCGCTGCCCCCGACGCTCAGCAACAGGTTGGTTTGTGCTCTGGGCACGGCGTCTGCTGTTCCTCGCTTTAACTGGTGGGTTTTAAGCTGCTTTGTGTAGAAATTTTATTTTTGTGTAACTTCTTGTTAGCTATGTAGGTTCTGCTGCCTATTTGTGAATGGAACTAAGAAAGGAATTTAATGAAGCATGAATAGTCAAGTTGGGGAAAAGTTGTTTTCTGTTGAGCTTTAGGAAATCACAGAGCTTCTCCTTTTCTTTTTAAATAGTGTCCTGCTTTTTAAATCAAGCACCATTCGTAATACAAATGTAATTACGTAAATGTGCTTAGGGTGTTTTTTCAGCTCGGAAGAGAGTATCCCTGGTGCTGCCGCTTGGTCTCCCAGGGTTGAAGGGTCCCTGGCAGTGCTGCCATTTGTTGCAGTATGAAGGGGAGGAGGGGGAGAACAGTGTGTGCAACACGGAGTTGAGGATGCAGCGGGCCCTGCCTGACCGCAGCGGCAGTGCACTTGCATGGTGCTTTCACGCTCCCGGGCCTGACACAAAGGTAGTTCAGTGGCATTCGTAAGGGGTTTTAAACCCATGAAAAGATCTGTGCGTGTTTGTAGTAACCAGCCCTTCCCCCTAAGCAGGGCAGTGAGCAGTGCAAATCGCTGCTGCTCGAGCTGCAGGGCAAACAGGTAACAAAAGGAGCTGCCTTCCGAGAAGGGGAAGGGGCTGCGTGGTCTGGAAGGAGTTGGGGGCAGATCTGGGGGCCTGGGAGAACTCAATTCCTTCCTCCCGTTCCACTTGTCCCGAACCTCCTCACATTGTCCTTCCCCTTAGGAGAGAGATCGGCAGTTCTGTGCAGAAACACAAACATGCAAATAGGCAGTGGGTTGTTTAAAGTAATCTTTTAGGACATTATGGTTTAATGGTATTTATGGATATTAGGTCTATGATTACCTACTGAAAAAAAAAGGCATTTGTGTTTGAAAAGTTGGAAGGGATCCCAGCTTTTCTAGCTGCTTTATCCATTTTGTTTTTTCCTCACTGTTCCTTACTCAGTTCCTGAGCGTTCGTGGACAGTAGCCTTGTCTGGCATTGCTTCACTGGGCTCACAAACCTGCTGCTGTTCTGGTGTGCTCTGGCATTTGGGCTGAGGAGGTTTATATCACATAAAGAAAATACAAATTTCCTAGGCTAAACAAAAGACATTCCCATATTGAAAAGATACCTCCTCTCTTGATTATCAGAGGTCTGCTGAAAACACTGGAACTTTGAGCCACTTTAATACCAATAGGACTAACCAGTTTTATGTGGCTTTGCACACCCCCATGTAGTGTCACAGGGCCTTGGTCGTGTCCAAGCGCCTGTGTCTTCGCGTGTGACTTGGGTTCTGCCTTCACTGCAAAAGCTCTTGCGTGTCCCGCGCTCCGCGTCGCGCTGCGGCCGGCGGGAGCCGCGGAGGCTCCGCTTTTCCCCACAGTCTCATGTTTTATCAAGCTCATCCAAAGGACCCGCTGGGTCTCTTTCGTTTTGAGATGTTTCATGATGACCTCCTTTTTCTATGAGATTTCAGTGTTTTTTGTTGTATGTTCAAGAGGAAAATGTTCAGGCAAGCAAGTAGTAGAGTTGATAGTAGTAAATAGTGAAGTAGTAGAGTCTTAGTAATAAGATGCACGTTCCTTACACTGTTTCTTCCATTACAAACTCTATTCTGCGAAGACCCAAGAAAGACCCTTTCTTTTAGTGGAATTATGCTGTAGAAAGGCCCTAATGTAACTTTGGTGGAGGAAAAAAAAAAAAAAAAGAAGGGGCAAGAAAGCTTAGAGGCAGTTTCCACTGGTTGATACTACTGTATCTGAAACTGCATGGAACAATTTTTGCTCCTGCCCCTCTGGAGTTCAGCGCTGTTTCAGTTGCAAATCACTGACTATTTCTTTCAAAAACTAGGATTTAATGTAACGGCCCAAGGAGGAGGTTACGGTGACCAGGGCACAGGCCGGCACGTTTGCTGCTGAGCTGCTCGGAGCCTCGTGGACATGGTCACACCACCTGGTGGGGGACCAGTTCGGAGCAGGATTCAGTCAGTGTTCCTTAGATGATGGAAAGCCGCAGGAGACAGCAGCTCTACTTTCATATCTTTCTGTACTGTTCTATAATTAAAAGAATTCCCAGATGTTACTGTAATTTGTAACTTCTGAGCTTCAGAATATGTTCAGGCAGTTTCACATGGAAAATGCTTTTAGACATCACCACCATGGTCTGAGTTTAAAATAGCCCATAGCAGAGAAGTTACAGGGTAGACCCTGCTCAGAGTGAGTGCCCGGGGTCTGGACAGGACTTGCAGGGGGTTTGGGGAAGGGGAGGGACTGACCATGTCTCTGTGTGTGTGTCAGCAAAAACGTAAAGGAGCAGATGAGCTGTTCCTCGTTGGACATAGCGTGCAGCCAACGTGCCAGCTGGGAGCCGCGCGTTGGCACGCGTCTGTCTCGCAGTGGGGAGCGGGAGTGAGGGGTTCCCTGCTCCCGTGTAAACTCCAGTCTTGCCCTGTCAAACCCTGCAGTGCCTCAGGCCTGGGACTGCTCCCTGACCAGCAGAGACAGCTCCTGCTCCACCAGCAGCACCAGCAATTCCAGCAGCTCCTGAGTACTCAGCAGCTCACGTCAGTAAGTTTGACACGTTCCCAGCTGTGAGGGGTGTTTGGAGGTGATGCAGTCTGTGCCCCTGCCCGCGTGCCCTGCAGGGAGCTGCTCCCGAGGGCCTCTCACAGTCCCGGCCATCTCCTGTGGACATGGGGGCACCTCTCGCAACCTCCACTGAGGGCAGTACAATTTGGGACTTTGTGATTCTAGTGATCAGTTATCCCCCGATTCCACTGTGATTATAGCAGAAAAGAACGAGCTGGCTCTGCTCTGCCCCACAGAATTCCTGTGTGCCCCTTGGCAGCTGTTTCAGCTCTCTGTGGTGCTGATTGCCCCGTTTTAGTACTTGGACACACGTGATTTGATACTCTTCTTGGATGCTTTTTCTGCCAGGAGCCTGGCACAGCCAGCAGACTGAGCTGAGCTGCTGCTGAGCTGCCCATCTCCAGCAGGGTAACAGGCACTTTGAGGAATTTCATTAGCGTAAGCTAAATTAACTAGCATTAAGGTAGTGCTTGCCCTGGCTAAAAATCTGGACAAGCAAGAACCCAGGGAGGATCTATTCTTTGTTAGTTAATTCTTGATTACCGTTTTTTCCCCTCCTCCAACCCCAGGAACAGCACCAAGCCCTTCTGTATCAGTTAGTCCAGCAGCAGCACCATCACCACCAGCACCACCAGTCGGACGTGCAGCAGCTGCAGATCCCTGGCGGGGCCCAGATCCCCATCAACAACCTGCTCTCGGGCACGCAGGCGTCGCCGCTCAGCGCAGCCACCACCAACCCCTTCCTCACAATCCACGGAGAGAGTGCAGCTCCCAAGGTGACAGTAAGTATATTTCTCACCTCGTTTTGAACGGGAGTCCCTTCATGATGTAATTAGAAGATAAGCAACAAGTTGTAGGCATGTATTCATGTATCAAGGATTTTTTTTTTTTTTTATTCTAGTGTGGGTATGTTTTGTTTTTTGATTGCTTAAGGCTTCAGTAATAGTTACTGAAGTCCAGAGGTTGAACAACTTCCCTCGCTTATTACAGCAGTAGAGCTTTTCCTGGACAGATAAGTTCTTGGAGAAGACCTGAAGTGGCAACACAGTGAGAAAGGAAAGTTGTTTTGCAACATCGGGGCCAAGTGCCTGCAAACTTCTCCCTTCTACTCACAAATATTGAGCACGTTCTTCTACCCAGATTTTTGTGTGCAGATACTGTCATTTCTAACAGGGTTCTAACAGGGTTCCGTACTGTGATACTGCAAACTGTCCTGCAGAAGCCAGTGATACCAGGTTCAAGGAAATCTTGAATGTCTTCCAAACAAAACACTTGCTTCTAAGTGTTTTTAATTGCATTTTGTTTTCCAAAGGAAAAAAAATTATTTTTATCTCATTTATGAATGGAATTTAAACAATTTCCAACAGTTGAGAGCGGTCAGTGCAGGGGGGTTCCGCGCAGCCCCGCTGGCCGCGCAGGAGCCTCTTCACGGTGACTCTGCAGGGCTCCCCGTCGCGCAGGTGCCGCTGGAGCGGCGGATTCCAGCCGCAGGGAGACAGAGAGGAGGGAGGTGGAGGCCAAGGTCGTGTTTCATGGTGCTGGCTCCCTGCGAGTCTGTTCCCTTTCCTTCAGTTACTTGTCTCCTTTCCCACGCTTGCTTCTGTGATACAGGTTTCTTTACAATGTGAGCATCATTTTGTTTATTAGATAGCGGTATTAATTTAATCTTAGCTGTGGTCTTTTCCAGGGTGTATTTCAATTCTGCTTTGTCATTTGCATTAATTTAATTTTACTCTGTATTTTATAATCTGATTTTTAGAAGTATTTTCTCTTGCACAGAGGCTCAATGATAAAACTGGACCAGTTGCACCAGAGAAGAGTTGACGTTTGACTGGTGCTGAGAGCTGCCCGTCCTGCTGTTAAGGCACTTCCTCCCGATGCTGATGCAGTCCTGCTGTCTGCAGGACTGCATCAATGCAACAAGGAACTCGTACTGCACAGCTCAAGGTTCATAGGCTTCAATAAGGATCTTTTTGGTAGGCTTTGATTTACTTACTTGTTGCACTAAAATGGAAGTACTTCATGTTTCAGACTGTGAAAAGATAAAATTCTGCAAATCATAATTTTATGTCCTTATGATGGTACTAAGTACAAATTCAAACACAGAAAAAATATGTGTGTTTGATTCTTGAGAACTACTCTTATTCTTGATTCAAAGGCTATTGACTCTCTGCAGTCTTGGATTACTTGGGTTTCAAAGCAGTAGTTTTAAAAACAGCCCCCCCTTCCCCAGCCAGTCTGATCTGCTGCAGTTGCAATTCTCCCTTTTAGACTAAGCTGGCAATGGCAGCCTGGACTTGCTAGTTGTTTGTTTTTACACATGTATTTTGAAACCTGAGTCGTAAGGGAATCCATTTTTGAACTTTTTATTCCTTTAAATTCCTGTTGATACATAGTGCGAGTTTTTCCTGAATAAGAACTACAGTAGGGAATACAGAGCTTGTTGAGTTTGGTTGTAGGTTTTAGAGTTCCGAGGTTTTTAAAGAAACCCGTTTGGTTCAAACAAGAAGTTTTCTCACCAGACGAGGCCGCACTGGGGAAGCCGGTGCAGTGTTTGGCCTCAGCTAAGTGCCTGTCGCTACCTCCGCTCCCTGGGGCTGCCTGCGCACGGGCCCTGCCCTGGGGGTCCCGCGAGCAGCGGAGCCACCTTGTTCTGCCTTCCCAGAGGGGCTCGGGCCCTGCAGGCAGCTCGGGCAGATGGTTACCTGGGTCGCTTCCACTAATGAGCTACCAAAACCGGAGTCGCTCCTTCCCGCTCGACCTGACCGCTGGCTGCAGAGGGCGAGTGG